TTGCCATCTGCTTTTTTCAGTTTGGGTCTTCTCCTTTTCTTAAGCTCTGTGTGTGTGTCTGTGTGTGTGTGTGTGTGTGTGTGTGTGTGTGTGTGTGTGTATTTGCTTATGTGTGCTGGTGTGCTGGTGTGCTGGTGTGCTGGTGTGCTGGTGTGCTGGTGTGCTGGTGTGCTGGTGTGCTGGTGCCTACAGAGTCAGAATAGGACACTGAATTCTTTAGAGCTGTACTTACAGACAGCTGGGAACCACACTCGGGTCCTCTGAATAAGTAGCATGCGCTCTAACCACTGAGCTATCTCTCTAGCCCCTCCCACTTTCTTTTGGTCAGTGTAGCTAAAATTTGTCAATTTTCTCTTGTATTTTATGTTAATTTTTATTAAGAACTTTTTGTTTTGTTTTGTTTTGTTTTTCGAGACAGGGTTTCTCTGTGTAGTTTTGCGCCTTTCCTGGAACTCGCTTTGGAAACCAGGCTGGCCTTGAACTCACAGAGATCCGCCTGGCTCTGCCTCCCAAGTGCTGGGACTAAAGGCGTGCGCCACCACTGCCCAGCAAGAACTTTTAAATTAAAATATAATTATATCACTCCTCCCTTTCCTTACCCCCTCGTCCCATGTGCCCCCCTCCCTCTCAAATTGTTGGCCTCCTTTTCTTTAGTTAATACTATTACATACTTATGTACATAAAATATACCTTCGGAGTCCATTTAGTGTGGCTTGGGTATACATGACCAGTTGGTATTGGATAACCAACTAGGGGCTGATCCCTGAGAGAGGGCTAATCTTCCCTCTCTCAGTAGTCTTCAGTTGCCTGTGGTTCTCTGTCTAGGGGTGGGGCCCATGAGATCTCCTTCTTCTGAGTTAGCACATTTACTGACACTGTCATTGCCCAGGTCTTGTTTAGGCAGCCTTATTGTCGAGGTGTCATGGATGCAGCTTCCCTGTCGTGTATAGGAGACACAATCTCACAGCACTCACAGACTTCCTCATCCTTCGGTTCTTACAATCTTCCCACCCCCTCATCCAAAATATTCCCTAAGCCTTAGGTCTAGGAGTGGTGCTGTAGATGCTTCTGTTAGGGCTGGGCTCTCCGTGATCCACTGGTCTCTGTACTGTGTCCAGTTGTGGTTTTCTGCCATGGTTTCCCTTTGCTATTGCTGTGGCCTTTGGTTGCTTCTCAGAAGTCAACACTATGTACTTTGGACACAAGACCCAGAAGATTTTAGCTGAATCTAGCCTGAAAGCCTCCTTCCTGTGGTTCAGCTTTTATGACACCAGAAAGTATTATGTAAATTGCCAAAGGAGAGACACAGTCAGTGACCCTATCCATCTGTGATGCCTACAAACTGTAACAATGATCAGTGTGGCAAGATATCCCTAAAGGTGTAACAGTGGCACTCATATCGTATTAGTAACCAACGCTGTCTAATTGGACTTAAGGTCCACTCAGTAGGAGGGAAATCGTGCCTAGTACGAGAAACCTAACCAACTACCCAGGATTAGTGAGGATATGGATCTTAGAAGAGAAGCTGCTGCCGCCACTTTACCAGACCAGCATACTTCCTAACTGTCCTTATACCCACAGATAAATGTCTCTGTCACTCATCATCATCAAAGAATCTTCTCTCTGCAGCAAATGGAAACCACTGCAAAAAACTACAACTTGTCCGTTTTCTTTGCCTTTTCAAAGAATCAACTCTATTTCATTAATTCTTTGTATATTTTTTCATTTTATTTATTTCTTCTCTGACCTTTTTTTCTATCTACTGATTTTGAGTTTGGCTTGATTTTGGTTTTCTAGGATCTTGAGACACATCATTAATTTATTTATTGGGATCTTCCTATTTAACTTAGGCATTTATAGCTATACACTTAGAACTGCTTTCATTGCATCCCATAGGTTCTAGTATACGTTTGACATCATTCATTTCTAAGAGTTTTGAAATTTTACTCCTGGTTTCTTCAATGGCCCATTCTTCACTCAACAGTGTGTTGTTCAACCTCCATGAGTTTATATATATATTTTTTGTATTTTCTTTTGATATAGATTTCTAGTTTTAATCCATTGTGATTATATATAAGAAATGAAATTATTTTAATATTTTTGTAATTGCTAAGACTTGCTTTGTGTCCCAAAAAATGTGATCTGGTTTTTTGAGGGTATTTCATGGGCTGTTAGGAAGAATATGTATTCTGTAGCCTTTGGGTAGAATATTTTATAGACGGCTGTTAAGTCCATTTGATCTATAATGTCATACAACTCTGATGTAGGTATGTATGTATTTATTTGTTGCCTGTATGACCTGTCAGAATTGGTCTTAAAGTATTATTGTGTTGAGATCAGTCTGTACCATTACATCCAGCAGTGTCTGTTTTGTGAAAATGCATAGACCCATACTCAGTACATACATCTTCAGAGTTGTTCTGTGCTCATAATGGAGTGTTGTAGTCGGAAGGTTTCTCCGGTCCTGCCTGGCCCCAAAATGGTCCCTCCTGGCCACAGTCCCACAGCTGTTTATAAAATAACTACTCAGAGGCTTATATTAATTACTAATAATGGCCTATGGCAGGCTTTTTGCTAGCTAGCTCTTATAACTTAACCCATTTCTATTTATCTATAAGTTGCCATGTGGCTTATCGGTATTTTCACATCTTGCTTCTCCTGGCAGCAGCTGACAGATCTCCCCTCTCCTCTTCCTCTCTCTCCAGTTAGACTAACCTTATTCTGCCTCACCATTGGCCAGCTTTATTTATCAACCAATCAGAGCAACATATATTCACAACATACAGAAAGACATCCCACAGCACTTCCCCTTTTCTGTCTAATCAAAAAGGAAGGTTTTAATTTTAACATAGTAAAATTACATATAACAAAATAGTTATCAAACAAGAATTACAGTTATAATATCTAGTTTATTTATATTTGGCAAAGTTAAAGAAAATATTCTATCTATCCTGTATTTGCGAGTCTAAAGTTTTATATCTAATTTATCTTTTATCATAACCAAGGAAAATTATAATTATAACTCTCTGGTCTTCAACTCCATCAAAGACCCCAGAAGGATATAATATTACCTAAGTAAACAGGAAGAGCATTGTAAGCAACTTCCAAAAATCTAGAATGGCAGAGACAGCTGGCTGCCTGGACAGTCACCCAAAGTTCCTCTACAATGTTGGGGCATCTGTCTTCAGCCCAGAGGCCTAGAGTCTCTCAGTCATTTTTCCCTGTGTCCTGTAGAATATCTGGCAGTCTCCTCTGTGAAACAGGAAACTGAAGGACCATTTCGCCTTGTTTTGGCAAATTTAGTGGTCATTTTCCCATGGGTCCTACATGTCCAGTTTATACAACACATTATCAGCAGTCCAGGCAAGAGCAGTTTCTTGCCCAAATGTCTATTTTTGCCAAGAAGAAGATAAACTTCATATAGAGTGTCTTCAATGCCCATCTTCCTCTTGGAAGTAAATCAGTGCTGCCAGGAGCAGTCATGTCTTACTGTCCATAAAGTCTAAGTTTTTAAAACATTTTCAATGACATATTTTGTAAGTCTTTGAAGTGTTTGAAGATTACCTACCTAATTGAAATATACCTTTATACACCTAAAAAACTGAAATAACATGATTATAAGTTTGATCATCCTAGATGACTATTAAGCTATATTTCTTGATTATATATTATAATTTCAAATGACCTGCATAGACATAATACCTTTAAAAAAGTAGAAATATACATACAGTATAACAAAATTAACTTTAAATTTCTATCAATAAACTAAAATTCATAGCAATGTAAAACATTTTAAACAAGTTGTTGCTCTTTAAAAGTAATTCAGTAATCTACCTTTTCATCCTATCATATCTATAGCCTACATTTCTATATCATACCCCCCTTGCTTCTTTTAGAAAGAGATTGACTATGGCCAATAACAATTTGCAACCAACAATCTAAACAAAGACAAACATCCAAAATCTAATTTTTGGGAATTCGGGCATAGTGTTCTAGGCTACTTCATGTTGATTGAGGGTGCTGGTAGTCTTATGGGAACATAAAGAAAATTTTAGGATTATGGTCAAGTCCTGACTGGAGTAGTCTGTGATGCTGTATTCTCTGAGCCAGTTGTCTGGATGTTGGATCATCTGGAGACGTCTCAGGGGGTCTTGGCTGATCAAACCATGTTAGCTTAGAAGTAATCCATAGGTTCTCATCTTCTGTGAAAACAAAAGCAGAACCTCTTTTCCAAAGCAACATATCCTTAGACATAAATTTTGAAGTCAAGATACCTTTATATATATATATATATATATATATATATATATATATATATACCTTTATATATATACCTTTATATATATATACCTTTATATATATATATACCTTTATATATATATATAAAACAACACATATTCATAGCATACAGAAAGACATCCCACAGCAGAGTGTTCCCATTATCAATATATATATTGGTTTAATTTGGCAGCCTTTACAACCAAATATCTTTCTGTAGTTAAAAATCCCAAAGATAATATAATCCAGACTCTCTGTGTGATTTCCATCTTTATGTGGCTCATTTTTTATATTACTTTTAACGTTGGCCAAGCAGCTTTATTTATCAACCAATCAGAACAACACATATTCATAGCATACAGAAAGACATCCCACAGCAGAGTGTTCCCATTATCAATATGAAGGGATCTTCTTTCTTTCTTTCTTCTGTGTTTTGAAACAGGGCCTCACTGTGTAGCCCTGGCTGGCCTGGAATTCACCTTGTAGACCAGGTTGACTTTGAACTCATAGGAATCCTCCTGCCTCTGCCTCCTGAGTGCTAGGATTATAGGCATTGTGGGGTCCTGCCCCATCAAGAACTTAGGTCTCTTGAGAAGGGATGACCTGGAACCTAGGAAAGGTAAGTGGGCTGCTCTCCCCAACCCCCCCATCCACCCCCCCAACCGGCCATTCCCCAGCCTCCCTTTCTCCCAGAAGACAATCAGACACAGTGGGGAGCCAAGTCAAGCAAGGACTCATTTATTTAAAAACAACAAGCTCTTTTAAAGCATAAAGAGAACAAGGCTGGGGTTGGGGATAGATGTCCCGTTGGGTCAGTCAGCTTAAGGGTTACCCAATCATGCGCCTAGTCTCCTCCAGTATTTACAGTGTTTTCCACGAGGGAATCATGCACTGACATCATCTTTCTTGACCTGAAGCTCCAATCATATCTTTTTGTGTTCTATCTTCTATGCTTTCCCTCAGGGCCACCTTTACTAGCACCTGGTTCCATACCCCCTCCCCAAATCTGGCCAAAGGTCATTCAGTTCTCATGTTGCCACCACCACCCACCCAAGGCTTCCTAATGCTAGCCAGCTCACCACCAGTTCCTAACCACCAACGACCAGACAACTCAGAGAACATATATTTCTCGTTTTTGACTCTAAAAAAATAACTTGACAGTGACAGGCTGTACACTGTACACAGTGTCAGGGTTCCAATAACCCCACCATTCCAAACACAACACTATACTCCTCAGATACCATCCTTTAGCCCCTCTTAAAATCCTAGAAAAAAAAATGCCCCCACGATGTTGGAGAGACCAAGACAAGGAGATTACCACTACCAGACATCAGAGGCTTATGGCACTAAAGATATAGGTTGGGGGAGGGGACTCTTAGCTGCCTTTGCCCAGTTCTGTTTCACAAATCCAGCGGTACAGCCTCTGGCAGACATCATCATTCCAACGGCCATCATCGTCAGAGAAGTGGGCACAATCCTCACCTCCTCCCAGCCCGTGTCCATGCCAGTTATCTGGCTGCAGTGGCTTCCAGTTCCTGAAAACAAATGGTCTGAGCTCCAGGAGATCAGGCCCTTTGCCATGATACCAGAAGCTCCCCCCCCCCAAATCCCCAGGGTCACCCACTAAAAAGATAGGACAGTCCCAGGTAGAGGGAGCAAGCTGTAGGCAACACTTACTTGAATCCATTGTCATAGTTAGTCCCATCCACCCATCTCCAGGGTCCATTTTGGTCCGTTAGGCCCATCCAGGCGTGCACAGGGCCCTTGTGGTCATGGATAAATTTCTGAGGAGGAAAATAAAAGGGGGGATGACTTCTCCTTCTAACAGACAACCCCCAGGGGCGCCCATCGAGGCCACACCTGCTCCTCCGGGGAGTTGACCACCACCAGGTGGGAATTCTGCAGTTCACAGTGCTTGTCAGCCTCAGGCCATGACTTCCCAGACTGAGAGAACCAGTAGCAGCTGCCTTCATGCTCTATCCAGTGAAGGGGGCAGCAGGCCATTTTGGAGCCTAAGAGGCACCAGAGAGGGTCCAAAGGCTGAGGAGGGGCACAGTGTAACATCAGCTATAAACTACAGAGACCTACACCCATCATCGTCCTCACCGTTGTTCTTGAGGCTGGCCAGCTCGCAGGACAGGGTCTTCAGGTCCTTGCCCAGCTGTTGGACACTCTCTGTTATCTCAGACAGACCTGGGACACACAGATGGAAGTGAGAACGGTGCTCTCCTGCAACATCTGCTTGGTGAGTTCCTGGTGCTCAGATGGCCTGCGCGGGGCCCAGTCTAGGAACTCCACCCACTGCACACACTCACACCTCCTCCCAGGGTGCAGGAAACCCAGGTCTAACCTGTTTTGAATGCCTGTTCCTTCTTCTCCACCATGCTCTCCAGAGAAGAAACATTCTGTCTCAAGCCTCGGCCTGGAAGACGACGGTTCAGCACCAGGAACCCGCTTTCGCCCACACCCTCTGCATACTCTCAGAGACCAGGGCCTCTCACCTGCCAGCAGTTCCTGCCTGTGGTCATCCACCTCCACTTTCAGAGAGCTGATCCTCTCTTGCAGGCTGTCACCTGCAGAACAAGGACTGGAGCTCAGGACTCTGTCCTCTGCACCCAGCCCACTCCTGCCCAGAACCCGGTCCCAGCCCAGCTCACCCCTGGAGGTCAGGGCCTGGAGCTCAGCCTTCGTGTTGGAGGTGATGTTGTCTAGACTGGCCCTCAGGGTGCCTAGGTCCCTCCTTAACTGGGAATCTGATGAGAGGGACAGAATGATCAGAACCAAAGTCGCTCAGTCCCCTCTGGGCCAGCACTAAGCTGGGCACTCTGCACACAGAGTAGCACTCTGGGTCACAGAGCCCAGTGGAGCAGGCACCACTGTTACCCAGTATTACACATGAGTAAACTGAGGCTTAGGAGGTGAGGTAGTGTGACTGTGTAACCCAAGCACAATAGTGAGTGACACGGCCAGCAGCCATCCCCATCACGGTCCTCCATGTCCCCACAGTGTCCCCACCATTGTTCCCATCTACTATCCACGCAGGTCACTGTCCATTACACTTCTCTGGCTGTTAACCTTGTTATCGCCACAGCCCTCACTGCTGTCCTAAGTGCCCTCTATGCCCATCACTGCCTCCATTCACCCTGCCCCCCACACTGTCCTGTGACCCCTCACTGCTGTCCTAAGTGCCCTCTGTGCCCATCACTGCCTCCATTCAGCCCCCCACACAGCCCTGAGACCCCTCACTGCTGTCCTAAGTGCCCTCTGTGCCCATCACTGCCTCCATTCAGCCCCCCACACAGCCCTGAGACTCCTCTCCCCTCTGCCAGCCTGAGGGCACCCACTTTGGGATCCAATCACGGAGATGACCACCAACAGCAGGAAGCCAAGACCCAGGGAGAAGAGGAGGAGGCCGGTCCAAGAGAAGATATTCCTCAGGAAGGACTTGGGGGGAGCCGCTGAAAGAGAAGAAGGTGTCAGGTTAAATGGTCTAGAGCAGCTGCTCTCAACTTGTGGGTCACAACCCCTTTGGGGGTCAAACGACCCTTTCACAGGGGTCCCATATCAGATATCCTGCATATCAGATATCTCCATAATGACTCATAACAGTAGCAAAATTCCAGTTATGAAGTAGCAATGAAATAATTTTATGGTTGGGGGGTCATCACCGTGACATGAAGAACTGTATTAAAAGGTCACAGCATTAGGAAGATTGAGAATCACTGCTCTAGAGTGTGACAGATATAGGAGGTGTGGGCTCCAGGGGCCTTATTTAGGGGTGATTGTTTGGTCCCGGTAATGCTGTAAGAGGGAAAGGCTAAGAAGGATTGGGGTGGGGGTACTCCAGCCTCTCACCTCTCATGACCCAACAGAAGTCTCCCCTACTGTCCGGGCTCAGGTGCACAAGTGTGGGAATGCACAGACGTTAAACACACACAGACAGGGCTCTGTGAGGCCTTACCTCCAAGTTGGAGTAATACAAGGAGACAGAGGTAGCTGGGGACAGCCAGGCCATTATCAGGCCCTTAGCTTTTGCATGACTGTGTGAGCCAAGGGTGAGCTTCTCCCAACCCAACTACCCACCGCCATCCCCTTGGGTACCCACAGTGCACAGCCATGATCCCCTCCCACAAAGCACAAGAAGCCAGAAAACTCCAGGTCACTCTTCCTGTCCCCGTCTCTCCGAGGACCTTGTATGTGCAATGTAACGGCCTTCGGAGTGGGACTGAGCTCACTGGGGCATGGTGAGAAACGACAGCAGAAACTCTGATAGACATACTCAGAGCGCACTCAGGAGACTCGGTTCCTCCTTTCCTCTTACCTGTTCCAGTCTCCTGGGTTTTCTCCTCATTCCCCAAGTTCTGGAAGTTTTCATACGTCATTGTCTTGTTTGGACAAACGCACACTTCTGGGGCTCTCAGGACTGAAATGGAGAGACCAGGGTTCAATTTGGGGTGCAAATGGTTCTAAGAATGAGGCAAGAATTGGGGTGGAGCCGAGGACAAGGCTGGGGCTGCAGTGAGGTATTGCAGTGGAGAATGAGCCTAGGTTGCCACGAGGGTGGAGGTAGGCATGAGTTTGCAGCTGAGTCGAGACATGACGTCAGCATCGCATCAGCCTTTGAGAAGCAGTGGAGCCTGGCGCTGAATTTGGAGGTAGAATTGGAGCTAAGGACGTACAACTCTGTGCTGCCTGTCTTGTGCAGCATCAGACAGAGTGAGAAAGCATTTGAAAGACAACAATGTGCTGGTGGTTTTTGTTTGTTTGATCATTGTTTTTTGGTTTGTTTGTTTGCTTGTTTCTGAAACAGGGTTTCTCTGTGTATCCCTGACTGTCCTGGAACTCACTCTATAAACCAGGCTGGCTCCAACTCAGAGATCCACTTGCCTCTGCCTCCTGAGTACTGGGATTAAAGGGTGTACCACCACTGCCCGGTAACATACTGTTTCTTTAGGGCCAAAGGATGCCTTTCCTGACAGATTCTGAACACACAAATGCCCTCAAACACTCTAACTTCCAAAGGTCATGTGTAGAAAGTCTTTCTTCTCCGTTTACTTTGAGAAACCTGATATACTCTCTCTCTCTCTCTCTCTCTCTCTCATTCATTCATTCATTTTATATCCTGGTGGAAGTTTCCCCTCCCTCCTCTCCTCCCAGTCCCTCCTCCCATTCTCTCTCTGTTTCCAAACCCCAATCCACTCCTCCTCCGTTTCTGTTCAGGAAAAGGCAGGTCTCCCATGGGTATCAACAAAACATGACATATCAAGTTGCAGTAAGACTAAACACCTCCCCATGTGTTAAGGCTGGGCAGGTTGACCCAGTGTGGGGAGTAGGGTCTCCAAAGCCAGTAAATGAGTCGGAGACAGCCCCTGTCCCCTCTATTAGGAATCCTGCAAGAGGACCAAGCTACACAACTGTAACATATATGCAGAGTGCCTAGGTCTGTCCCTGCAGGCTCCCTGGTTGTCGGTTCAGTCTCTGTGACCCCTATGAGCCCAGGTTAATTGATTGTGTGAGTTTTCTTGTGATGTCCTTGACCCTTCTGGCTCCTACACTCCTTTCTCCCCCTCTTCTTCGGGACTCTCCAAACTCTGCCTAATGTCTGACTGTGGGTCTGCATCTGTTTCCATCTGATGACAATTGGGCTAGGCACCAATCTGGTCACAGGAGATTGCCAGTTCAGGCGGCATATCCACTATTGCTAGGAGTCTTAGCTGGGGTCATTCCTGGGAGATTCCCTTTCACCGGGTTTTTACCTGACCCAGAAATGCGCCCCCCGCATCTCCAGTGGCCTCTTTCAGTACTCTCTCCCTCTGTGGTCTCCCCCGTTCCTACCACCAGAACCTGATCGCTCATGTTCCCATCCCCACTCACCCTCAGTCCACTCACAAACTCTCTTCTATTTCCCCTTCCCAGGGAGATCCCAGCATCCCCCCTTGAACCCTCCTTGTTACCTAGTCCCTCTGGGTTTGGGGATTGTAGCCTGCTTATCCTTTACTTACAGCTAATATCCACTTATGAGCGAGTACATACTATGTTTGTCTTTCTGGGTCTGGGTTACCTCACTCAGGATGATTTTTTTCTAGTTCCATCCATCTGCCTTCAAATTTTCTGGCATCCTTGTTTTTAACAGCTGAGTAATACTCCATTGTGTAAATGAACCACATTTTCTTTATTTATTCCTCAGTTGAGGAACATCTAGTTTGTTTCCAGGTTCTGGTTATTACAAATAAAGCTACTATAAACGTAGTTGAGCACATGTCCTTGTAGTATGATTGAACATCCTTTTGTATATTCCCAAGAGCAGCATAGCTAGGTCTTGTGGTAGGTTGATTCTCAGTTTTCTGAGGAACCGCCATACTGACTTCCAAAGTGGCTGTACAAGTTTGCACTCCCACCAGTAATGGAGGAGTGTTCCCCTTACTCCACATCCTCTCCAGCATTAATCATTCTAATAGATGTAAGATAGAATCTCAGAGTCATTTTGATTTGCATTTCCCTGATGGCTAAGGATGTTGAACATCTCCTTAAGTGTTCTTGGCCGTTTGAGATTCTTTGGTTGTGAATTCTCTGTTTAGATCTGTACCCCATTTTTTAAATTGGATGATTTAGTTTGTTGATGTCTAGTTTCTTGAATTCTTTATATATTTTGGAAATCAGCCCTCTGTTGGATGTGGGGTTGGTGAAGATCTTTTCCCATTCTGTAGGCTGCCATTTTGCCCTATTGACAGTGTTCTTTGCCTTACAGAAGCTTTCTCTCTTGAAAGGTTTCATACCACAGTTTCACTCTGAAGGATTTAAGGATACTACAGTCCAAAGAAAACTGATTTTATCTAGCCCATCACTTAAAAATCATAGGAAATCAGGAAGGGGGTTGCTATTGTTTATCATGCATTTACTGTTTGTGCATATATAAGCACACATGTAGCATGGTACACACATGGAAGCCAGAGAATAATTAATAGGAGTTGGTTCTCTCCTTCCACATTGTGGGTTCCAGGAACTGAACTCAAGTCAAGCTTGGCAGCAAGCTCCTTTACCCATAAGCCATCTTACTAGCCCAACAACTTGTTTTTGTTCTTTCAATAATACCTATCAATATCTCAATAATCAATTTGACCATTTGGAATACACTGTCTTCAGAACCTTTCTTAGCATTTTCATGGCCACCTATGAATAATTCTAATTTTTTTTTATGTGTAGAAAGAAATGTGTACAAAGAGCAAATTTTCATGATGGTTTATGATTCAAAGATATAAAATATAAATAACTTAGAACTTAGCACTCCAAAGGAAAATTTTAGCAAAGTCATACTGTTCTTTGAAGAACTTGTTCTTGTATCTCATGTTGAGACACTCCCATTAGTGCCCAGTCAGCAGCCTAGAAGGAATCGAGCCTAAGCTTGCAATAAAACTGGAAGTAAAACAGAGCTGAGTCTGGGTGATTGGGCAGGACTTGCGTGAAGAGTCAAATTGGATCTGGGGTTGAAACAAGTTAGAGTTGAGGTAGGAGCTGGGGTTGGGACTGGGGTAAGGGCCTATGAGTGCACTCAATCAGTCAAGTGATTGCCGTGCACGCGGGCGAACCTAAGTTCAACCTCCGGAACCCAGGGGGAAAGCTGGGCAAAGGCTGGAGAGATGGCATGTAGCATTCTTGCAGGTGACCTGAGTTTGACTCCTCAGCTCCCACACTGGGCAGCTCACAACGGCCCCTGACTCCAGCTCCAGGGAGGTTCAGTTCCTCTGGCCTCAGAGGGGACCTGCACTCACATGCACACACTCACATACCGAGACACACATATACATAGAACTCAAGTAATAAGTACAGTTTAGAAAAGGAAGAAAGAGAAGTCTAGGCACGGTGTCATGCTAGGCACGGCCTCCTGTTTGCAATCCCAGTGCTGGGGACGCAGAGACAGCTGGGTCCCTGAAGCTTGCTGCCAGGTCAGCCCAGCCTAGTCAGCAAGTCCCAGGTCAGTCAGAGACCCTGTCTCAAAAAACAAACAAACAACAACCACAAAAACCCCAATGTGGGACTGGGGACACGGCTCGGAGGATAAAGTGCTTGTTGTACAAGTGTGGGGACCCGAGTTCGGATCCCTAGCACCAGGTAAAGGCTGGTTGTAGTGACACACTTTTGTGACCCCAGAGCTTGTGGGAGTGCAGCAGACACAGATCATAAGAACTCACTGGCAGAGGGACTAGCACAAACAACCAGCTTCAGATTCAGTGAGAGAACATGTCTTAAAATAGGCATGCACCTGTACACACAGTGCACACACACACACACACACACACACACACACACACACACACACACACACAAACAGTATAAATAGCTCCTGAAGAATTCCAGCTATGGTTGTTCTTTGGCCTCCACACACCTGTGCATACATGTATACATACTCCTACACACACATGAGCAAGTGTATTTCAGGTTGGAACTGTAGTTTCAGTCTAGAATATCTCCAAAGTCTGTTAAGCAAAGGTTAGGGCTGAGGCTAGAGTTAGGGTGAAAATCAGGTGGGAAGGGGCCAAGGATGGGCCTGAATTTGAGTCTTCGTCTGACTAGGAATTGTGGGTTCAAACTAGGATCCAGTGAAGGGGGGCAGTCCCAAGTCTCACACAAGCCCTTCCTATGCCTGCACACTTCCTTCCACCCAAGGTCTAGAGTCCGTCCCTCCTTGTATCCCTAACACATTCCCTGTCCCACTGGTCGCCCTGGCGACCCCAGCCCGGTTACCTGTGTGAAGTCTGGAGATGGTGACTCTCGGCTTCCCTGGGCAGCAGTGACCAGGGGTGGGAAGTCGGTCAGAATGGAGAACTATATCCCAGAGGGTTGATGTGGGAGGGGCCAAGCAGAAGTTACAGACGTGTCAGAGCTCATCTAGTCCTTTGTGTCTGAAAGTCCAATGGTCTGTTTGGGGAACACCCAATTTTTCTCAACTTGTAACAGTGAACATTGAATTGGAACTTGAGTGTTTGTTTGTGGAGATTGTGGAAGTGAGGTAAAAGACAAGCTTCAGCAACATCTTCCAGGGTATGCCTTCCTCTGTTTCTCTCTCTTGAAGCTCCTACGGCTTCCTCATTTTTCACTAAGGGAAGAGGGATTACAACCAGGGACAGTCTATTTTTCTTCTCCTAGGTCTCTCATCTTCATTTGCTTCCTGCCCATGCCCAGGACACCATGAATTTTGGTGTCTGTCACTGAACTCCACGGGAGTTCATTCACTATTCACTCCGCAGAGTCAAAACCCGATCTGACTCCCTGGCACCTGAGGACCCCAGGACCACGCTCCATCTCTCCACCCCTCACTCCACTCAGAAGGATGGAGAGGGCAAGAAACCATGTCCTGACCAGAGTGGAGAAGAGAAGTAAAGAGAGAGAGCATCTTGTATTATTAAGCATCAATTCTGGGTGAGGGTGGGGGGGTTAGAATAGGCCACTGATTCCCACTAGCTCAGGAGGCAGTGTGGATGATGGAAGGAAACAGCCCTAAGTCAAACTCCATGGCATCCAACACCAGCCTGGCTCTCTGTCTGCTCAGCCTTCCCACCAGACATCCATTTCCTCACGGGAGCCTTGTCAGCGCGTGGATCTTCGGAACACGTGCCCTGTTTGGATTTCAATCAGGAACCTGAGTGTCGAAAAGCAAAAACCTTTCCAGTTTGTTTTCTTTTCGTCCATTTGACCCTCACTTGCTTTTGCTGAACTGGTACGTGTCAGGATCATCTGTGCACATCCAGTCATAAAACACGCTCCGTTCACCTGCGTCTCATTTTGTGTGTTCGTTTTTGATTTGTCTGTTTGTGTTTGTGCCTTTCCATCGTGGTTTTGTTTTACTTATTCTGTGATATTTTGACTAGTCTCTGTTTCCACTTAGAGCTATAGCTTGGATCTAGACAAAGGTCCCCAGGCAGCTGTTATTGTGAGGTGACCAACCCCTTTAGAGGCAACTGAGTGGGAAGCCTTTTTGTCACCAAGCCGTGCTCTGGAAGGAGGTTGTGGGATCCCAGCCCTTTCCTCTTTCTCTTTTGCTTCCTAGCCAGGAGTTGAGTGGTTTTGCTCCCACACACTCCTGATGTGATGTACAGTCTTGTCGTGGGCACAATGCCATGGAATCAACCATAGCTGAAATCACAGAAAATGTGACTCCAAATAAGGCTGTCCTTTCCACAAGCTGATTGTCTTGGGTAGTTTTTATAGGACGGAATGCCAACAGATTTTGCAAGCTAATGCTGAAACTGAATTGGGGTACAGGGGATAGGCTCCTTAGTAGGAACCCACCCTTAGAAAAGGATGGGGACGAAGACCAGAGGGAGCGCCAACATGATATCAACCAGCCTGAGTGCTACAAGTGTGAACTATGGAGGTGCATGATTTTGATGGTTCCAATCCAGGAAATGATGGAGGTTATACCCAATCTGTAGATCACACTCAAGGAATACAGTCAATTTTCACAGTATTAATTCTGTCAATTTATGTACATGAGAGTACTTAGAAAATTCTTGTCTTCTTCAGTTTTTGTAAAGGGCACAACAAGGTCTTTATGCTCACAGATAAACACTAGAGAAACCAGGAATGTTAAACACCCAGACTTTCTGGGCGGTGATGGCGGCGTTGCTCGCCTTTAATCCCAGCACTCAGGAGGCAGAGGCAGGTGAATCTCTGTGAGTTTGAGGCCACCCTGGCCTACAAAGTGAGTTCCAGGACAGCCAGGACTGTTTCACAGAGAAACCCTGTCTGAAAACAAAACAAAACTACCCAGACTTGCCTTTCAACTTGTTTTCTCCCCGAAGGCCAGAGTGGATGTAGTAAATAGCCTGGTGATCTGTGCTGTCTGTAGAGCTGGGCCTTACTGGGCCTTACTCGAATCCCCCGGACTATTACGTTTGTCCCAGACTTTCTCTCTGGACCTTTGTCTTCAGTATTGTTTCTCAGTCAATAGAACCCATCCCTAGGGGAGATGTCACATGCACTTTGTAGCTTGGTGACCTCTATGATATCTGTATGACCTAGACCATACCTAATCCTCCCCTAGGTCCTTAAGCTTTAGAGCCAGTCTTTATGGAAGAGGTCACATGTACTTTGCAAGAGTTTCAATGTGTCACACCTTAAGCTTTATTGTTCACATGGGATTGAGATCACTGTTACCAAAAAACCCTTTTCCAAAATTTTACTGTACTTAAATACGTCTCAAATAAACTGCCCAGTGTCAGTCTCGAGAAGTTTGAACCAATACTAGCTAACTCATGTTGAAGCTTCTTGCCTCATATGGATCGTTTCTCTGCTGGTGGTGGCGCTTGCAGGGACCTCCACAAGGTTTGTAGTAGAGGTCTTTCACCTCAGATTAGATGTCCTCCTAGGGTCGTGTATGAACAATTGTGAATGGATGGTTCTCGGTTCTCCTGACTTCTATCTAGGCATGTTCACAGTCAGTATACAAAAACACCGTTTTCAGATGCTGGCTTGGGATCCACAACTCTGCTGGGCATAATTATTAGATCTAAGAGTTTCATGATGGAACTTTCAGGGTCTTTTAAGTACAGGATCATATTGTTTGAAAACAGGGATAAGTTGACTTCCTCTTTTACTGTTTCTACCTCTTATGTTTACTTCTATCACTTACTGTCCCAGCTGAAGTTCAAGTACTATATTGATTATGAGTGGAGAAAGGGGTTATTTAGAGGAAATACTCTCAGGTTTTTCCCCATTTAGTAGAATGTTGACTATAGGTTTATGTTAAGTATGTTCCCTCTATTCCTAGGCACTTTGTGACCTTACCATGAAAGGATGTTACGTCAGGTCTAAAGGAAACTCAAATTCCCCAGACCCCAAAAGGCAGTCCAAATATCCAAAAATGAGTGCAATCTGAACTATAGGAGGATTTCTGGTGGTTAGCTAAAAGCCAGAGTTCCTCAGGAACTTGTGAAACTGACTCCCTTCTACCGAAAGGAGTCATCTCCTTTATCTCTGATAGAAGGGACCAACAGCTGCCTGTGGTGCCTATTAGCATATTAAAGCTCATGCTGGCCCCCAGGCCCCCTCAGTACCACAGGTACCTGTTACACATTTCAAAGTCCATCCTAGCATCCCCGTCCTTCTCACCTCCTCCCCTACCCCAAACTCCCTCCAGCTCACAGACTTCCCTCCCCACAGCTACTCATTCTCCTTATAACCCTGCTATTCCAGCTATTCTCTCTCGCTCTCTCTCTCTCTCTGTCTCTGTCTCTCTCTCCCTCTCCCTCTCCCTCTCCCTCTCCCTCTCTCTCTCTCCCTCTCTGCTCCTGTTTCTCTCATTGTGTTTTCTCTATTCTCTATCCTTGCTCTTCTCCCCTCTCTCAAAGATAGCCCTGGCCATGTCCAGTCTGCTAGCCATGTTTAGTCTACTTCTTTCTCTCTCTGCTCTGGACTCTTCCAGATGCTTTGGGCTATTCTCACTCTTATGTAATTCTCTACAATAAAAACCTTCGCCTTAGCCATACCATGGGGTAGTCATGTCATCAGTTTATACATGTTGAAGTTATCAAAGGCCTTTTCTGCATCTGTTGAGGGAATCACATGACTCTGGTCTTTGAGTCTATCTATGTGTTGTCTTGTGTTTATTGATTTGCATATGTTGACCCATCCTTGTATTCTTGGAATGAAACCAATATAATCATGATGTACAATGTACAATGAGCAAACATTTAATATCAGATTAGGTTTTTCCAATATCTCATTGAGAATTTTTGTGTCTATTTTCATCAAGAATATTGTTTTACAATTTTTTGTTGTTGTTGTTTTCTGTTCTGGAGAACACTAGGTTTTCAGTGTGTCTGCATCCAGCCCTTCCCTCTCCCCATCTATAACTGCCTTATGCAGCCATCTTTCACCTAGGACCATGACTGGGTGTCTCCAAGCTCCCTGATTTATGATTATTCCTTGTTTTCAGACCCACGGAGTAGCTCAGTCTCAAGTAATATGCCTCCTTCCAATACAGTGTAGAGCCCTGCAAGGAATGGAGCATGCTAAAACAGACTTCTCCAGTGCTGACTTGTCAGACAAAAGTCATGTGTCCTTCTCTCAGCCATCCCAGTGGTTATCCAACACCAAGTGGTCAGCCCTGGAATCATATACATACAACTAACATCATACAGACTGGGCAGGCTGTATTTCTATGTTTAGGAATACACACACACACATACACACACACACAATTAAAGAAATAGAGGTCATGAATTTGAGAAAGAATTGGGGGAGGTACATGGAAAAAGTTGGAGAGAGGAAAAGGAAGGGGGAAAATGATGTAATTCTGTTTTAATTTCATTTTTTCTTTTTTTTATTTATTCTTTTCTCAAACAATACATCCCAACTGCAGCCTCCCCTCCTCCCAGTTCCTCCCTCATCTCCCCTTTCCCCCAAATCCACAGCTCCTCTGTTTCCCTTCAGAAGAGAGCAGACCTCCCAGGGATATCAACCAAATATGGCATAAAAAAAAACCTTTGTAATAATCCCAATTTTTGCAAAAGTCACTTATCTCAAATCTCCCAACTGGATCTTGGGCCTGTGAGAACCATGCATTTGTCCTTTGGCTATGGTGACTGCCAACTTCTCTTTACATCAGGGCCACCTAGCTTACCTTGTAGAGAACTCTTCAGGCCTCCCTCCTCCTGCAGGGAGCCAGGTAGATTGTTTTCCAATTTTTGCTGCTTAGTCTTGCTATTTCTCCGGGCCCTTCAGCTCTTCTGTGATGTCTTCTGGGATGTGTGTGCATTTCTTCCTTTCTGTCTTCAGTGTAGAATCCACCCTGTTGCCCTGACTTCCTCAGAGCTGATGTTACA